TCCAGCTCTCTCAGCTTTTCCTCAAGGAGAGGTGTTCAAGCCCACTGGTCATCTTGGTGTCCCTTCTCTGGATGTGCTCCAACAGGTCCATGACTTTCCTGTGCTGAGGATCCCAGTACTGGATGCAGTAGTCAAGGTGGAGTCTCACAAGAGTGGAGCAGAGGAGAATCCCCTCCCCTGACCTGCTGCCCACACCACTTTGGATGGAGACTAAGACCTGTTTGGCTTTCTGGGCTGTAGGTGCAAAGTGTTGGGTCACGTCCAACCTCTCATCCACAAGTACCACTAGTCCTTCTTGTAGGGTTGCTCTTGAATGTTTGCTGTGGAATACTTATTGATAATTCTCATATTTGTGGGAAAAATTATCATAGGATTAGTTGGATGAGTTTTTGGTTTTTTTTCTGCATTAGCCATCATATTTGGATTATGATTCATAATCCCATGAAGCCCAACATTTACTCATTTTAGTACTTGTGCATTTACTTTTTCCAGTCTAAACTTCCATGAACAATAGTTCATGCTTTTATTTACTGCACTTGTCAGAATTCCAGACTGTTTTCTCCAACTGGAGATAATTTTGGACCAAGATCTGGAACTTACCACCATCCATCAAGAGTCTGCCACCCTTCATCTAGATGTCATCCACAAAACTGGCATGTGTACACTGTCCTGTCAGGCACATTGCTAATGAAAAATTAGAGTAACAGTGAGCATGGAAGAGACTCTTTCAGATCCTAACTTCTTGTGACCTTTTGTTTTGACAGGAAACCATCAGGAGCTACTCTCACTGCAGCTCTTCATTCTGTTGTGCAACCAACTTTTAATAATTTCACCTGGACCATATTCTCCAACTTACAGGACTGTCACATAGGACTGTATAAACCCTTGTTACAGCCAAAATATGTCACATCTATTTATTCCCTGTTATCCATTTGGCCAATTACCCTGTCAAAGGGAAAAATTAGATTCATTTGACATGATTTGTTCTTGACAAATTCATGTTGACTCTTTATTACCACCTTATTATACCCTAGGCCCTTACAAGTTGATACATTAATCTTTTATTCTAGATATCAAGCATAGCCTAAATAGGATATTAGACCTCTGGTCCTGCTTCTTTCCCAACAAAAGTTAGAACCACAGTAAAATACTGCAGAGTTATATTGCATCCTTATCCTCAAAAAAATCCTTCACTGCTGTTTGAAAGGAAGACCACCTCAATTTGGTGATACCTTTGTTTCATAGAGATGGAGAAAAATATGGTACAAAAAAAAGAAATAAGGACTGATGAGAATCCATGATTTGCAGGGAAATATTACTACTGTTGCTATTCAAGTCAAACAATAACTTCTGGCTGATATAATTGGAAATATTTTTTAAAGTGTATCATAATGGAATTCAAGTCAGAACACTGCCCAACCTTTCCATAAAGGCAAACTGGGTCATCACTGAGCCATCTCGTTAAATGAGAGGGAAGAAAAAGGTAATCCCTTTGCAAAAAATTGACCTTGTTGGCAGGTATTGATAACTATATAACTTCATCAAAAAATCTCATGGGCAAAGGAAGATCACATAGTCAAGGCAGGAAAATTCAGTGAGTGCTTTTTTTTTTTGCTTTTTTTCCCAGCAATAAGCAGAAAATTACTCCTACAGGTACCTATAGGCACCTGAAATATCCTACTGAAATTGGCTGGATCACGTTTTACAGATACTTTAAATCTTAAAGATTTAATGTTTGCTACAAAGCGAGCATTTACTGGTGCAATAGCTCTCAGCAGCTGCCAACATCTAAGTGGCAACATTGGCACTTGCAGCTGAGCATGCATATATTTAAATGTTTCACCCTAGTTTGAATGCACAATGTGAGTGTAAATGATATGTCTAGATTTCTCAGAAAAAAAATTGCTTGAAATGGAATCCACAAAACCTACCTTTGCTGTTCTAATGTTTTTGCTCAGCATGGAGAGGCTTTGGTTATTTGCACATTCCTCCCTTCCCTTGTATGAGATTTATTTTAAAAAACATACTGAACACACAGCTGTCATGAAGATTTATAGATTACTCCTTTACAAGGAAGCTAAATGATTTTAGACTATTGTACTGCCTTTTCTCATCTTTTTTTAATGTGATTTTGATATCATGTAACCAGAAAAAAAAAGAAAAAAAAAAAAAAAGCTCTGCTGCTGTAAAAGGAATCTCTATCTATAGGGAGAAAATTGTGTATTCTATGCAAAAAAGAAAAATCCCACAGACTAGTTTTATTGTAAACATTTTCATAATATTGTTGTGTAGCAGGAAAATGGAATTTCTATTCATTACTCTCTGAAAAAAAAAAAAAATCTATCTCCCGCATCTAAAAATAGAGACATATTGGTAGAATAGACACAAAGCCTAGGTTCCTAGACAGAAAAGTTATTTATTGCTGTTATGGATTTAAATTGTGTTCAACAAAATATGATGAAAATGAAAGGTAGGAATATTGAGTAAGTGGAAACTTTTTCATGATAATAAGAGAAAGAATTACAATGTGTGTGCTTGCCATTCATAGTAGAGTTATCAAAATATGATAGCTAACAGCTCTTTTTCTTCAAAGCATTTTTTCCTTTGAATCCAAATATTAAATCTTTAGTTTACCACATTTTTGCTTCAAACACAGATGGGCATATCAAAATTACCTAAGCAATGGAGAAAATAGCTCTACCTATTCCCCTCATGTTGCAGAAGAACATTCCTAAACTGCAGGGGAACTCAGACTACAAATTATTTCTTGAACACCTCAGCAGAGCACTTTGTGATTTTCAGCAGTAATAACTATAAGCACTGGAATGAGGAGACACCATCATAAAGATATCCACAAATTGCCTCTGTGTGGTGGTGAAAAGAGGGAGAGATATCATTCCAGGTTAATCAATGGGCAGATTTTGGATCATAATCTCTCAATCAATCAACACTGTGGTTGCTTTAAAACTCAGGTGAATATTAAAAGTTGAAAATGAAACATACTCATCAAGAAGTTCTCCCCATTCGGTAGAGATAATATTGATATATTACAGAGAGGGGAGCATTAAAACAACCTTCTCAACAGTATTGGCTGTTTGAGTTTAAGCCTCAAACACCTGAAGGTGTGAAGGGACAGGTAAATATTAGCTGGTCTTCCAAGAGTTTGCCATGAACACCTTAAAGTAACAGAGGTCTTCTGAAACCAGTTTTTTTGATTTTCAGAGCCATCTAAAGTTTTTTGGACATTGTAGGTAGCTCTGGAAATGGCCTCTGCTTCTTTCCTTTCTCTTTTTCAGAAACCTTTCTAAAAGAAGCAGAAAAGGAGCAGTACAGAAGTAGAGTAGTCCTCTGAGTAAAAAGTATCAGTGTCCACTGATGCTTTGTTTGTCTCTGCATAGAAGGATCTTTACTTTAAACATTTTATTCTGGAAAATGCCTAGATCTTCTCAGCTGGAAAATTTTCCATTCCACATATCAATCTAAGCCATGTAACTGTTAATGGACTAAGTAACTTTACTGATATGTTCATCTTGTCTTTTTTCTAGACATTTTTGAAGAAAAATAAATGGTATATCCTCTTTGAAATGAGGTGTTTCACTCTGGTATGTAACACTGAAGTGTTTGATCTCTCTTTCAGCTATATACTGTGTCTGGTTCAGCATGACATGCTTTTTCCTGAGACAAAGCTAAAAAAGCTGAGAATTTTGAGTGATAAATTGTGCTGCTTGGTTGGTAAGATCCACTGTGGCTCAGAAGTCTCCATCATTCCTTCCTCATGAATGACTCAGTATCCACAGTCCTAATTTTGGCATCTGGTTTCTAAATGGAAGAGCCTAATTTGACTCTTCTATTTTTATCTGTGATGGACATGACAGTATTGCCCTTTCTTGCACCACTCTTTGAGAATTATGTCAGTGTTATAAGAGAAGATGTCCATTCAGTAAATGAGCTAAATAACCTGGAGTCATCAGTGAAATTAAATATGTGATGCTGACTGGTCCAGAAATTGTGGTTGAGATATTTTTGAAATTATTTCTAAGGGATAGAAAGCTGAGGAGAATGAAAAGAAATACAATATTTTCACCCCCAGATGGGAAATCCCTAAAATTAGGCTTCAAGGTTTAATTTAAGTTTTTGATAAACTCATGGTTTTGATAAATAATCGATAAACTAAAAATAGCACAAACTGTATATAAATGGCTGCCTTTAAATAGGCAGGAGTATACAAGAATTATTTCACTTCTTCCTATGACTAGAATTAGAAAGGAACCTTGTGGACGCTTTTGGGTTTGACCTCACTCTAAGTCAAAACATTTTTATTCTGGCAGAAGTAACTTCCATAATTAAATTACGTAGTGAATTAAAGACAGGGCAAGATTAGTTCTCACTAACAATGCCCCTTTGAAGAAACTTCCTGAAGCGCCTAGAATAGCAGAAAAAAAATACACTTTACTACGTCAGGGTTTCTGAGAAGGAAATAGAAGTGTTAAAACCTAAGAGGCTTTTCTGTGACACAACAGGTATTAGTTGGCAAGGAGCATCCCAGCACAGCTCCCTTGGGTAATTATGGGAGACAGGTTTCCTTCCTTGGTGTATTAGAGGGCATCTCCAGTTCAGCTTTCTCTGCTTCATTGCTGGAGGAGTGAGAGGATGCAAGGAGCCAACTGAAGGGACACATAACCAGGACTGGTAGAAGAATTAGGATCCAGCAAATATGCCAGTGTTATTAGGAGTAATGGATCAGTCAATTTTTCCTATTTACACCCAGTGCAGCACAACTGAAGTTGATGAGCTTACAGGGATATATTGGCAGGGAAATCTGGCTGGGTGTATAAACACTACCAAGCCATTGTGTTTATCTGAAACAGCCTACAGCCTTTTCATCTCCTTAGTGACAAACTGAAATCACAACGTTTCATTTAGGCTCAATTTCTGAAAATTATGGCACATCCTAGAAGATAAGTACATATTTCTAATCTGATACAAAATGATCGACTTACATCAGAATTGAATCTCAGCTGGCAAATGTTGCATGATATGATTTGCTTTCTTCGATGAGGAAGAGGAACTCCAAATGTATGATTTATTACAGCTTTTTGAATTGGGTCCATCTGTGAAGAGAGAAGAAAAAATAAAAAGCTTTTGCTGTTCCACTGTGTGCTATGTTATCTAAAATCTCAAAATAGATTCTGCATCATTCCATACCATGATCTAACAGAAAACTACTATTTTTCTTTGAAACTGAATATTTATTTTTTATGTAGTTATATAAAGAGGTTATGCAGAAGGAAACAAAGAAAAATGTCATTGACTCTCTTGAAACACTTATCTTTAGTTCAATTTTATATTTCTCTTTACTGAAGAAAGGTATAAGCTGTAAATGCCAAACAGGTTTTCCTACCCAAACACCAATCTGTGATATTTATATCAGAGAAAAGCTAACTCAATAAACAAAACAAGAACATTTTAAATAAAATTACTAAGAAAAAGATTAACAAAAATGTGAAATAATATTATGTACACATAATTTCAGAATAGTGTACAATACCTCAGTGTTATCAAATAATGATAATATCCCATGAACCAATAAATGAATCTCTTCCTTGAAACAACATCTACACAGCTTACAAAAGATAAAATCCTCCAAAAATTATTTTCACAGTCATTTGGAGGAAACTATTTTGACTAAACTCTGCTTTAAAGATGAATTTGGACCTTTATGAAAAGGATTATTCTGAGCTAACATCTACCGAACACTGATCTGATAGTGTCTGCAAGTCAGGCTCCCTATTAAGAAAAATGTGTGCCATTTTGGCAGAGAACTTCACGAAAACTACTCGAGGTACTTTTTTACTTGGAGAATTGAAATCACCTTTCCCAAATTCATTGAACAAAATGCTTCTTTTTTTTTTGACAAAAATATAATCGACAGATACTTTAAAAATCTGGTAATAGCTTTGCAGCACCTTGGTTAAGCCACTGATAGATTTTTATCTTTAAATTGTTAAAAAAATCACATATTTTGACTAATTCTGATAATCAGTATTCACAGAGCATAATCTGTGTAAGTCATGAAGAAGATTCCATCTTTCTCCCTGCCCATGTCTCCATGATTCACTGTTTTCTAGTCTGTTGGCAAAGGGTTATTTGATAAATAAAGAATCAGAGCTTGTCCTTAGAGTAATCAATTATTCATGAAAGCTGTAATGGTAGGCAGTCATGGCCTCAATTGCAGTGAATCCAGAGCAGATCACTACAGAATTTTTGCACCACCTGACAGCTGTTCAGTGTCAAATAGAAATAGGTCTTTAAATTAATTTCTGTGGAAAAGAAAATAAGATTGGTTAAAAAAAAATAAAAAATTAAACACGCAGACTCGCACAAACCTCCCAGACAAACCAAGGAAAACAGCAGAACTTTATAGCTCTGCTATACAACAGACTGGTCTGGAAAAAGTTCTCTGTTTGAACGTCTTCTTCAATTTGATGTGAAACACCTCATGCATTTGTGTAATGACCAGTATAAAACAGCACCAATCCCAGCTAGAAACGAGGGATGCCACTGTAACATAACCCCAAAATAACGCTGATGACTTGGGGGTAGTAACATGATCTTGAAAAAGCCCACAATCCAAAAATACTATTATATAGACCAAAAAGGTCACCACTATATAGGAAATTAAATAAATTGTAATGGCTCTTCTTTTTTTGACTGCTCCACTAAGAGGTGAATTCTTATACCAGCAGAATCAATAGACCTGTGTCTTGTTATTTTTAACACTAAAGCATGACATGGTATTAACTGATGCTAATTCTGTGCTGTTCAAGCTTGGAAAAATTCTGTTCCTTTTGACACTGCAGGTCTAAAGCAATTAAAGAAACCTGAAGTTCAGATACATGGATAAGTCAGTACAGGGTAACAAGAAATTGTGCATTCTTTGATCCAGTGTAACTGTTTGGCTTCACATTAACCACAGCTGTGAGATTCTTTAGAGAGCTTCTTTGTTCACTTCCTTAAGTTATGGCACTTGTCAGACAATGCGAGATAATGGCCTTCAGTGTTACCATGTTAATCTTTCCCACTATCTCACAAGTGCCCATTATCTCACAATGACTTGAGAAAGCCAACAAAGTTCTCTATGGGTTAAATAAAAGCTACTACCATGGTTCACAAGATGGAAAAACTAATTTTTTTTTAACTGGACTTACCCATCTTCAGACTAAGTATTCTAGCACCAAATGAGGTTGGATTTCTGAGGCAACTGATACTTTCATAGTGAGAATGAGACTAAATAGTTTTTACAATTAAAAAGATCATGAATGTGTAGAATAGTTGCTCTATGTTATACTTAATTTTAATTTGGTCTCATGGAAAAAATGTGTGGTGTCTCCTAATAAGATCACAGATGTTCTCTTGTTTATCTGCTGATGCAGAAACCCATCAGTACCCCTCCCTTTGAGTTTTTCAAGATGTAGAATTCTACATATACAACTGCATGGCATTACTGGGGATAGGATGCTTTGTATTTATGGCTCTAAATGAAAGTGTTCTGGATAGTTTTCAAATTAATTAAGAAAAACTGCTTCAAAATAATAATCCCTTCACTGCCAGGTCATAGACTCATAGAATTGTTTGAGTTGGAAAGCACCTCATAGATCATCTACTTCCATGTCCATGTCTGCCATGGGCAGGGACACATTCTACTAGATCAGTTGCTCAAAGCCCCATCCAGCCTGGCCTTGAGCACTTCCAAGGCTGGGAGAATTGTTCTTTGATACTGCAAAGCACAGTTAGACTCAAAAACTTACCACCAGATTCTAATAAAGTTTGGCTAGAATGCTTGAGGGATATTTAACATTATTCATTTTCCCTAGAGATTTCATTTGGGAAAAAGCACCAATCCAAAAATTCTAAATAAACATCCAAAAGCATCAGATAAACCTGCACAAGTTTTATGCAGGAAATCTGAGAGGCAGCAGGATAGTTAGGAGCAGCACGATAAGGGCTCAGATCTCACAGATACTGGAAGACAGAGAGGAGACCTTCTGAGAGTCAGGGGAATAGAGCTAGCTGATTGCAGAAAATAGAGAGCAAGAATTGCAGGGAAATATAGAGAGAGTAATACTATCATACAGCTGAGATAATCAGCAAGTGGTGAGATATTTTAAAGCATCTCCATGCACTTTGAGACTTACTGTACATTACTAATTACACATATAAATTTAATTTCAACTTAAGTAAGTGGTAGGCACTTTCAACATAAAGGTTATCATTATAAACTTTGATAAAATCTGCTTTTTATTCATTACTAGTTCTCTTTTACAATTCTGGATTTCATTTTTTAGACTAAACTAATTTAATTTACTCTCATTTAAAATGAAGGACAGAGAAGTTTTCAATTCACATGAAAGATTATCATTCAGATGTCAAAGCTGTGCAGAAGCCTAAGGCTGGCAACATGTCCCTTTACTTCCTCTTGACAATACATTTACACTGTACATTACAACACAAAGAGAGTTTGAGAGCTGCACTGTTTGACTTGTTCATCCCCTTTGGGCTTTCTACTCTCCAGCACCAGGCATTTTCCATATGTCACACTTTTCCATGTGGTCAGCCTAGGGACAGCACAGTGCTCAAGGTTTACTGCAAAACACAGGATGACTATTAGACTGAGCAATGAAGAATGTCACACTTTTCCATGTGGTCAGCCTAGGGACAGCACAGTGCTCAAGGTTTACTGCAAAACAGTAAGATAATATTTAAGGTAAATATTTAAGTCAATTTGATTCTTTTTTGATTTTAATACATGCACACCAATATCATCCTCTGTGTTTTAATTATTCAAGTTGAAATTTGTGGCAAGATGGTACGATTAACATTCTTTGATCAAATACTGTACTCCCTTCTCACAAAATGTTCAGGAACTTATCATACTTTAGGAAAATCCAGGCTTAAACCAAGGACATGACAGAAATTGGCCCTTTTTTGCATATTCTTGGCTTTGACCCTATAATTTGGTTTTGCTTGTTTTAAATTCAGTCTTGCCAGACCTATGACATTAGCTCGTTCCTCGTTCTTGTGTTCACTATAGAGCATAAAATGCTCTTTATTTTGTGGACTGAAGATGAAAAGAGTGGCTGCTGCATGAACTTTTCTGCAGGAAACACCTCCCACAAAATCACCAAGAAGTTGACCCAGGAGATCCCTTATTAGTCTACCTGCCAAGGGACAGTTTTCTAGAATCATCATAGCTGCTATCCTTGAAGGCTGGCTGCAGCCAAGTCTTCACCTCACCAAATTTTCAGCAAATATCTGTGTAACACAGAATCTGAGATGGTATAATTTACATATGGAGAAATCTGGTCCTTTGGAAAGTAAATCTTATGTATTTTCCACAAATAATTTCTAAGTGTTTTTGTATGCGTGCACGAGCTTGTGTGTGTGTGTGAATTGTTTTATGCTGAAGCTGAAATTCAAACAACAAATTTCAAGAAATTTCAGTGTTTTCCTGAATTTCAATAATTTTTAATATATATCATTTTTATTAGTTTCTTTTCTGTGACTTCTCATCCCAGAGGCATAAGAATATGCCTAAGTTAAAAACCATAACAAAGCAAGAGCAAAGGAAAGCACGCAAGTTTGATCCACAAAGGCTCAAATTACAAAAGGGATATAAACCAAAGGGACTTATTTTTAAATGTTGTATAAAAACCAAAAGCCATGATATGAGCATTTAAAATGCTTAAGGTTTGCAGTAAATTAATTGAAATTCCCTAATATCTGTAAGTAAAAGCATCCAGGTCAAAGGATAAGATGATGTGGATGCCTAGAGCCTGTTCAGAGCATATGTTAGGGCTAAAGCAACCAAATAAGTAAGTAAGTATTTTTACCTCAAGTCCAAAAAAATTAGCTGAAAAAGATTTACTCAGATCACTATGGTCTTATACTAAATGAGCAGAAAAATATGTCAGGTCACTGAAGCTCTCAGGAAAAAAATGCTGTAGACCATTTTAGCAGCAATTAAAAAATAAAAATTACCCACAAAAAGATTGATTTCCATTACTCGAACAGCTAAGTGAATTTAGTGACACAGGTACCACCACCTTCCAGA